GCAGATATTAAAGCAAAAACGTTGGGTTTAATTAAAATTACATTTTTCTGCAAAAAATACTCTAAAAATTACATTGTCTTAATTTTTTATGATAATTTTTTACCGCGATATATACCGTTACTGTGAAGGGGTTCAATTTATACTGTGATATGAATTTGTGGTCATACCGCCCAGCCCTAGTTCCCTCTCAACATTATTCCTAATAGCTGTTTTTATCTTTCTGTTTCCAGTCTGAACTGAGAGAAAAGTTGAGTTTGTTGGATGCAAAGATAAAAAAGAACGAAACCGTTATTTGCCTAATGAAGGACACGGAGAAAAAGCTGAAGGTTTGTATCGTTAAAGGAGTTAGGATATGAAATAAACGATTCACGCTTTTTATTTAGAACGAACGTCTGAGTTTGTGTTTTGGGTCGTCTTCACCAGGATTCGGCCACCAACAGGAAGAGAGCCATGTTGGGGGAGTACCAGTACCTGCGGGACATGTTGGCCCAGGAGGAGCAAGAAGCTCTGAAGTCCATCGACCGGGAGGTGGAGATGGGTCAGACCAAGATCAGAGGGATGGTGGCCAAGTTCTCCGACAACATTAATAAGATGAGCAAAGCTAAAGAGAAGATCCACCGYCTGCTGAGCCGCTCCCAGACCCAGTCCTTCCTGCAGGTAGGACCTGCTGCACCWTCAGCACGGCTGGGGGACAGAAATATTAGCCTTAGTCTTCTCATGTCTGAAATTTAGCAAAATTTGTTCATTTCTGTCCAAGTTATTCTGCATAAATGACTTACAATCATCGGATTTGGTGTTTTTCTCCCTGCAGACTTCCTTTACCCTGCCACAAGCCGTGAACTATGACCCCTAYTCCCCTCGGATCACCCTGGACTCTAAGAAGGTGATGCTGTTGGAGGCGTTCACCGCAGACCTGAAGAACTTCCTGTTGCAGCTCCTGAAGCAGCCCGTGGAGACCAGAATACAAATACTTCAAAGAGGTGTCCAACACATTTTACCGCAGAGATTATTCCCTGTAGATGCATGAAGAAAGTAATTTAAATTCTAATCTGATTACAGAAAATAATACAGACACTGTAGTGGGTGAGTGGTTTGTTTTGGGGGGAAATGGTGGAAATCCAATCAAAACAGAATTTAAAAATTTTCTTTTTATTTTACTTTCTCTTTGTAATTTCATTGTGCTTTGTACAATGACAATAAATTATATTCTCTTCTATTCTATTCTGTTCGATTCGGTTCAGTGTTGTGATTTGAAGTAGGTGAAAAGTTGGAGATGAATTAAAGTTCKGTCCTGTTTTCAGGTGAAAAGGCAGCGCCTGCCTCCGGGTACACGCCTTCGGGTCCTGGACACCATCCCGAGCCAGGTCTGTGGAACACGGGCTGTAAAATATGTGGGAAATAAAGAATTTAAAACAAAAACCTGGACTAAAAAACTTTGTAACATTTTTTTTTTCAGAACCAAGGTTTCCAATGGCACCTCCGAGTCTCCCCAGGTCGCACAGTCCAGGACCTGGATTCAAAGCAGGCCAGAAGAAGAAACCGCAGAGTAAGAACTGTATTCTGCTAAAAAAAAAAAAGGGGATTTTATTTCTTCTGATGAAGGTGTTTTAATAAAACAAAAACTACATTTTAGCACAAACAGTATCTAATGCCGTGTCCTCTCTGCTAAGGATAGTTCAGACTACGAACACGACAAAGACAAAACTTTATTTCTCCATCCAGAAAAACTGTGTCTTTATCACTTTGTCAGTCACCTGTGTTCTCAAACTGAACAAACGTCTTCCCTCGTTACGCAGACACGAGTCCAAACGACTCATTCAGAACAATCGAGTGAGGGGAAACCTGATTAATGTAACGGGTTTACAGATAAAACCAATTCAGGTTGTTCAAAACATGAGGACATTTATGCAAATAATAAATTGTCTGAGATTATTTGGACTTGGTTATTTTTAAATAATTAATGTCACAGTGGCAGCAGCAACAAGCTTGAGTCTGGGACGAATCTGTAATAACGGTGACTTCAAGTAGACTAAATAAAATTTGATCAAATTCTCAAAATTTGAGCATAGCTTCAAAATTTAATGTTGGCTTTAACTGTAGATTACAAATAAACTCTTATTTTTTTCTTTAGAAAACAACAAAAATCCTCAGCAAAACTCTGAGAACGTGGGAACGAAGAAGCTGAACCAATCGATGGAAAACCTGTCTGTGTTTGACAACAAAGACAGAGGAGCCAGAGGACGTCCTGCTGCAGCTGGACCCAGAGACAGTCCAGGTGGGAACCAGGTTTACCTGCGTTACGCTGACAAATGCTAATTTTTTTTATTTAACTCTGCAAATTTACATCCATCTGAAGTGAACTAATGTGACTTCAATTTGGACAGTTTTTTTTTTTATTTATGTTTGGGTCTAAAACATGAAATATTTTCTTGTTGCAGAGATTTCTGACATCTCTCCAGAGATGAGTTCTGCTGAAAAAAGAAATGAGCTTCTGAAATGTAAGTGATCCAGTTTTATTGTAAAACTCAAAGTTGCAAAATAACTAAGTACAAATACTTTAATGTACTTAAGTAGAAATTTTAGTTATCTGTATTTTATTTGAGCAAATATTTTTCAGCCTACTTTTTAATTTTACTCCCTACATTTTCACACAATAATCTATACTTTCTACTCCTTGCATTTTTTTAAAGTTAAGAAATAGAAAGTCATTACTCTTATTTCATTCTGGCTCTATTGTTAAAAAGAAATACTGTCTTGATAATCTGCACCTCCAGGATAGAGTGAATTTAATTGTGGTTGAATGAGAAGTATAAATATTTACCATACTGACATCATATTACTTTGTACACAATCCATCACGGCCTGCACACCTTTAAAAAATTTGTTTTTGGAGAGGTCACCTCTCAATAAGTGTCACTTTGGAAAATCTAACCACTCATTTTTACTCAACACTTTTGCTTTTAGTACTTACAGTAAGTACATTTTATGTCAGAAATTTACTTTTAATACTTAAGTACAAAATATATAAAATACTTAAAGACTTGTACTCAAGTAATATTCTTAGAGGAGACTTTAACTTTTACCRAAGTATTTTTATGATAGGATACTTGTACGTTTTTTCAAGTATCCCTTTCAGGTATTTTTTACAACACTAGTAAAACTTAATGCAGTAATTTATAAGTTTCATAAACCCGTATCTGATTAGGACTCAGGAACACTCCACAGGTCATTCAATTCAGATTTTATCTACACAAACTTCCTCTGTGTTTTTTCTGTCGTGTTTTTAGACGGCTCGGTGCTGACGTTCGACCCTCGAACAGCACATAAACGCATCGCGCTCAGTGAGGGCTTCACGAAGGCCTCGGTCTCAGACGAGCACACGAACTACATGGACTGCCCTGAGCGCTTCTCCGTTTGCTCCCAGGTCTTCGCCTCCAAGGGTTTCTCAGCAGGTCGCCACTACTGGGAGGTCCGGCTGAGCAGCAACAACTTCATCGGCATCGGTCTGGCCTACGGCAGCATCGACCGCAAAGGCCCCACCAGCCGGCTGGGCCGCAACGACAGGTCCTGGTGCGTGGAGTGGTTCAATGTGAAGCTGTCGGCCTGGCACGACAGCAGTGAGACGGTGCTGGCCAACCYCAACCCCAAGCGCGTAGGTGTGCTGCTGGACTGCGAGGAGGGCCGGGCTACGTTTTATAACGTGTCTGACAGAGCATACCCCTTCCACTCCTTTATGTACCCCTTCACTGAGGCTGTGTACCCGGCCTTCTGGATCTTCTCCAGTGGCTCCTTCATCAGTCTGTGTAAGCTTCAGTAGTGAGTGACAACTTAAACTCACACTGTCCATCTTTTTATATTCATTACTGTAATGGATAGAAAAAGAATGAAAACTGGCAGGTAATAATAAAAATACATAAATAAAGGTGGTAACTCTCTGAGCTGTGAATGTTGGACACCAGGTAGGGACTCCAAATTTCTAAAAATAGAGTTGCGAGCAGCTAGAGCAGTAAGATTAATTTGAACGGTTTGTAAAACTGCACATGATTAAATTGTTCCCTCTTCGGCAAGCCCCCCTCACATTTAGTATTTAATCTGCTCACTTTTAAAATGAAGACAGGCAGATCTGTACGGAGCCTGCGAGGGGATATGGGGTAATTTTTTTTCTTTTACATTCCCATTCATTTCCTTTGCGTTACCCCACAAAACTTTTTGCGTTACCTCGCAAGACCTTTGGGTTACCTCGCAAGACCCTTGGGTTACCTGGCAAGACCCTTGGGTTACCTGGCAAGACCCTTGGGTTACCTGGCAAGACCCTTGGGTTACCTGGCAAGACCCTTGGGTTACCTCGCAAGACCTTTGGGTTACCTCGCAAGACCTTTGGGTTACCTCGCAAGACCTTTGGGTTACCTCGCAAGACCTTTGGGTTACCTCGCAAGACC